CCCTGCCTGGCTGAAGCGCTTTGCGGCGGCGCGCTCAGAAGGCCGGCTCCGTCCTCACCCCCGATGAAGGCGGGGAGGCAAGCGGGAACAGACGTGCCTCCCGGTGACAACTCGATTGAAAGAAAATAAAGGCGTTTTGTGCGGGAGAGCGGCCCCGCGGACGCCAGGAGAGAGACCCCGTCCCCCGGCAGCCAAGGGCACGGGTTCTGCTGGGGAGCTCGCCGCCGCCGGATGCCGGAGACGAGAGGCAGGCAGGGCTTCAGAGGGACACGGGCTTCGCCAGGGTCCAGCACCCTCTGAACCCCGCCGCGCGCGTCTCGGCATCCCCAGAGCGCCGGGGCTCCGCCAAACCACGCTCAGAAGCGATTCGGCGACCGAGCGCCCTCGCTGCCACGTCAGCCCCGTCGCCCAGGTTCGCCCACGGGGCGTTCGAGCCCTTTCCCGCGCGCAGTCCCCAGGCCCTGGTCAAGTCCGAGCACAAACGGCGACGGCTCCCGTCGCTTCGAGTCTCTAATCCGCGCGGCAAGGCTTCAGGGCTTGCTTTTGGTAGACACCGCGTGAGCCACCTTCCTGAAGACGTTTACGCTTGTTACACGCCCTCCCGCGTCGACACAAATAAAAACTTGTCGGGCACGTGCGCGTCTTTACACGTTTATTACAGCCATTCTCCGGCCGGGTATATCGCCAGCCCTCGGCACAGTCCGCCCGTTCCTTTCTCTGCGCAGCGAGTCACTCTGGCGTTAGCTGAAGAGCGTTTACGTGTTTGCAGTCAAAAGAAATGGGATTGTAAGCGTTCGAAAACCGACAGCGGAGCTGTGAGCATCCGAGATTCCCGAAGTGCATTTCTAAAGGCATTTCCCAAGGAGGGCTTAAGCCGATTCCTTTGCACCGGGGAAACGGCTGCGGTCTCGGTGCTGCCTATGCCCTTCTCTAGAACTCGCCGGCTTCCCAAGGATGTGAAAATCGACTCAAAACCACGTCATCAGGGGCAGAACTTCAGAGCCCTGGTAACCGCGCAGAGTAACCGCGTCGCTCTGGCGAGAAAAGCGAGAGCTCAGCCTTCTGCCGTCTAGCACAGAGCCGCCGCTTCGGGTAAATAATTTTGACTAGTGACTCAGCAGCAGCCTATGCGGGAAGTATATATTTAAACCTGCGCAGCTTAAACAATTGTTAAAGACGTCCGTTTATCACGCAGACGGTTTCTATTGAAAGGAGGAGGGAAATATCATTTTTTAAATTAACGAGAGCAGGCCTTATCTCGGCTGCTTTTACTGCGCTGTATTTTGGAAAACGTTCCTTCATCGTTCACAATTGCTTCTCTTTGTTGGACCCGCACGCCAACAGCCACGTTTCAAAAGACTTCACAAACATTAACCGACAAAACCTCAGCGCCGGGAGCTGCAAAAGCAACAAAGGCAGGAAGATTAATTCACTCGCCCAACGTTATATTCAATCAAGCCAAACTGGCGCGCGGAAGCCGGGCCTCGGCTCCCCCGCTCCGAGCCCCAGCGGTCGGCACGCCGCTGCCCCGCTCCTGCTGCCCCAGGTCACCCCGCTGGCAACGCGGCGGTCACGGGGCGCTGCCCCGATAGCGGGGAGGCAGCCGCGGGCCCCAGGGAAGAACGGAGCGTCTCCCTGCACGCTTGGCCCAGCGACCGGACTATTTATTTTTTCAACCGCTGTTGTCAGATCGAGGGTCGAAGGTGGAAGCTTCGCCCTTCCTTCAAACTCCCCGAAGCGCTCAGACCACCGCGCGGAGGGCCTTGAAAACCCACGCGCACCGGGGGTGCCCGGTTGCAGGCTTTGATGTGCTTTAGCACCCCAGCAAGCGGGGAGAACGGCAACGCCACGTGGGCAGGACAGCTGCTGCGCTTCGCCGGGGCGACCCAGGAGCCCCGGGGATCAGCAGAAACTCGGGTAAGGCGGCAACGAGACGCCAAATGGGGACGGCCGTCCACGCAGGGAGCAATCTGGGAGGGAAAAGCCAACTCTTCCCCCATACGGGATTTTAAATTAATCCTGTCAGCTCAGCCAGAAGGCTGCCAACGCTACCGACAGCTCGCTGAAAGCTCGTGCTCGGCGGCCAAGGGCAGGGAGGCTCCTCCGGCTGGGACGGCACCGCGGCAGGGAGGGCTGCGGCACCCCGCCCGCTCTCCCCACCCCAAAACAGGGACCAACGAGACAGGGCTGCTCGGAGGAAGGTGGTGAAGGTGGGGGACAACTCCGGAATAGAGACAGGTTTTTAAAAAGGAGACTCTGGCTTTGGGATGGCACCCGGGGAGAGGAGGCAATAAAAAGACAATGGAGGATCTGTAGACTGGGACTTGTCCACCACCTCAGGAGAACCGGGGCTTTCAATAAAGTCAGACAAGAGGGAAGCCCGAGCTGACAAAGAGAAATACCTCTCCAGCGCGGTAATTAAGTTGCTGAAGTTATCGCCCCAGGAAACGAGGACAAAAGCTTAGCGGGACTCCAGACGGGCCTGCGTGCTCCCGCAGCGGCCAGCAGCACCCCAGCTCGGCGAGACGCACGGCGAAACGTTTCTGAGACGCGTTTTAAGCCTCGCCTTCCCTGCTGAAGAGCACCTCGGACTATCGAGAGAGCAGGACGAAGCCCGGTGCGCGGGGCAGATAATCACACGTTTCTTAGCTCGGCCTCAAGCGTAGCGACAGGGCGGGAACACCGACTACGAAAGCGGCACAGACCCCAGCGGAGACTGCCCACGGGCTTCTCCGGCGCAGGACGGCCCCGGCAGACTTCCAGGAGGGAGGAGAAGGGAGCCGGCAGGCCGCGGCCCCCCCGCACGGTCCCCCGGGCGAAAGGGGGAGATGCCCATTCTCCCCCCTTCCCTCCCCACCCCAAAAGCTGCTAAATCAAGCCCTAATGGACTCGCACGAAGCTGGCTGCTGATGAAAATCCCCGCAGCCGCGTACGCTTACAGGGCTAAGAGAACTCTTCAGCCAAGTCCCTGCTGTGCTCTTTTCAGGAGAGGCCCTTTTAACTCGATGCTATTCCCAGACCATTGCGCGGGCTGCGGGGGCGAGGGGTCCCGTCGGGCCCCCGGGCGGCCCTTCCCGGCCCAGGGGAGGGCAGGGCATCCCAGAGGAAGCAATCACTTGGAAAAAGAGACACTGTTGCCAGTTTGCGGGAAATCCTGGCGATATTTACTAAATACCCATTACGAAGTGCAACACCCATCGAAAACAAAGGCAGCTGCGAGAAAAAGCCGCTCTGGAAAGACGGCCAGGAAAGGCTTTGGGGGAATATACTGGGAGATTTGAGGAAGCTTAAGTCCGGGACACAAATCCCTGTTCTCTGTCCTTAACAGTAGAGGACAAGGTCTGATACAGCTTGCCGGTTGTGATGGAGGGATCGCGCTGCCTGGGCCCAGCTGAACAGATACGATCTCTGCCGATTACCTGGGTTCACGTCCTCGACAGCAACCGCACGGCAGCACCGGCTCGCCGCGCGTTTTCCGTAGCGGTGAAGGGGCACGAAAAGCCCCAGTGCAACGTAAGCGATGTGTTCGGAGCAAGACCGTGAACTGTGCTTTCGCTAAAAGAGGCGGGTTTGAAGTAGGATACAAGGGGCAAATCCCAGAGGCAGACGCAGCCGGAGGAGGTCAGAGGCAGTGCTTTCCCCAGGGAGCCGGGAACAAGCTCGCCCAAGCGAGCTGCTCGGAGACGGACACAGCGAGGCACGGCGGACCGGGGCCCCGAAGGACACGCGGGATCTTCCCCAGAGACCCTGCTCTGGGAAGAGCAGCCCGCTCGCCAGGAGCATTTAGAGGCGGAAGAGGCCTTTTACCCCCACCTGCGTCCCGCGGCCGCGC